AGGGGTGGCGACGTAGTTGCCGGTCGTTGGAGTGTTGCCGTGCTTCTGCCAGAGCTGCTGTGTCGCAGTGGACCAACATACTTACAGGTGACACAGGCTACAATTAGCGTTAGAAAAGTACCGCCTGCACACCAACGGGAGACCAACGACGACGGCCTGAGTGCAAGAGGTCCGAACTACATAGAGCGGCACAAATGAAACACATGTCACCACCAACCAACCCATCGAGCGAACGAACGCGTGGGGACCGCACCTGCATCTACCAACCCCTCGAGCAGCGCCCCGTACGCGTTCCTCGGGAACACCCCCACCCCTTGCCCCCCGACGAAGTGCACCACTCCCAGAGGAAAGTCCACGTCCCTCGGCACCAACACGTCCGCGTTGCCTATCTCCTCCCAGTTCCGCCCCGACCTCGGCGCTCCCCCCGCCGCGGCCGCCGGTCGGTAAGCTGGCTCATCGCCCGTGTCGCTGAACCTTCCGTAGTCACCGCTATCGCGGTGCGCCCCGGCCATGGTCGGGGACGCGGGATGCCGTCGTCTTCTGAGCGACCGCTGCAGGATCGAGGCAGCAACATCCCGGCGGTGGTTGCGGTTGTGTGCGGCGGGGCTGTCGAGGTGGGTGTGATGGGCCTTGCTGCTGAACGCGAAGCCTGCGTGGGTGGTGCGAAGTTTCGGAGGGAGCGGGGGCGACGAGGAGTTGTGGTGTGGTTTGACTGCGGATAACATTACGAAAACATGATAAACATTTTCACACCCGCAGTACAGCAGTTATTAAGTTGTCATGCACAAACTACGTAGCGGCGCCGGTCGACTTGTGAGGCCACACAGAAAGTTTTGTCAAGGTCCAGCGACAGACCAGTGCCGCCAAAACGTAATTCTTCTCGCTCTCTGGGAGCCACCTTATGCTTTGTGGTGATTCCTCTGGTCTGCGCCTTGTTACATCTCCAACATGAGTTGATAATTTGAATTTTCAAACACGTGGTTGCGGGTAAACCCCGGTGTGCGTAGGAGACGAGGGCGACCACAGAGGCATCGTCCTGGTAAGACGGCGAACAGCCAATGCGCCAGCGCACTTGCGGGGTGACGGCTTGGCAACCGTGCGTTGTATCCCGGTTGCCGCTGGCTGCACGTGGCACTCCCTGGGCAATTAGTCGACGAAGTCGTTCTTGGAAGCATCAAATAGGATCAATACCCATACACGCGGGTAGGTCAGCTCTACCCCCAAGGTCATGCCAGACGGCCACCAAGCAACGTACTCACCTTGACATCGGCCCAAAAGCAGGGCCAGAAGGACTACTGCACTTGTGCCCGACGCCCACGGCTGCTGGACCGGTCGTCGCTGTCGACGTCTGTGTTGCTGGGGCATGTCTTCTTAGCGATGCCTTTGAGCGGACTGCAAGACCGACGACAGCAGCTGTACTACTACTGCTGTCCTCAGGAAACGTGCGTTTCCGCCACGTGTATTGCTATCAACTCCTACCAACAACGGTGCTCAATACTCGAGGTATACTGTCCCGGCAGGGAGGGCGGTGAGCACTCAGCAGCATAGAACACTGCTGCGCTGTACGATGCAGATGGTGAACACAAGAATAATGCAAGCGCTGGGGGAAACGCAGAATGAATCATTGGAGTTGTACATCGGAGGAGGCGTTTATTCAAACGCCATAAGACAAGGGGGAAGGGGTCTCTCTCTCTCTGTCTCTCTCTGTCTCTCTCTCTCTCACGCGTGCGCCCGCTCCCCTTCTCTGTCTCTCCGCCCTTCTCTCCACCTCTATGTGTCAGTCAGTCAGTCAGTCAGTCAGTCAGTCAGTCAGTCTGTCTGTCTGTCGATCTGCTCCTCCCTCTGTCCGCCTCTGATCTGTCTGTCAGCCTGTCTGCAGCTGCATACAGTAACCAAACCGACCGCTCGCCCCGGTGGTCTAGTGGGTAGCCTCGCAGCCTGCTACTAAGGGCCAGGTCATGGGTTCGAGTCCCGGCAGAGAGAGTTTTTTTCTCACTAAATAAATCCTGGTCTAGGATGAAAGCGACGCGCTGCAAAGCTCGTTTGTTAGTAAACCATAATCGACTTCGTAAGTCGCGAGGGAAGGGATTGCTGTACCCTTCTCGCGATAAAAATACCTCAGGCATGAACCGCAGGAGGGGGTCCAACCCCCCCCTCCTATGTGACCCCGGTTGGGTCGTCTAGCTAGTAGAAGTGGAGGATAGGGGCCAGAGGGGCAGACGACAGAGTCCAATGATGGGAGAAAAACAAACAAACAAATCAAACAAAAAACTAGCTAAGTCGTCCCGGTGATCCTCTAGTAGCAGCCTGCTAAGGGCCAGGTCATGGGTCGAGTCCCGGCAGAGTTATTTTCTCACAAAATTAATCCTGGTCTAGGATGAAAGCGACGCGCTGCAAAGCTCGTTGTTAGTTTTTTCTATTGTTCATTTTTTATTTTTTGCCTTCCGACAATTGCAGATGTATGTACCTCAGAAAACTTTAATTAATGTCTCATACTCTACATGAGTATTAAACCAACACGAAGTACAACAACATATGTAGGACTTATTTCTACTGTCACCTACATCGTAAAAATATCTCCTCCTCAATTTGAAATAAAAGCAATGACAATCTTATGGTATCCAACATGCGTTCGTAAGCTTGCGAAAATACTACTCCGTTGATGTCCTCTTGTAAAAAAAGCTTAAATCCAACAAATGCTTTGATCCATGCTACATCTCCGTGTTGGAAAAGCCCTTTCTTCTCCGTTCATGTTAGTTGTTGTTGTTGTTGTTGTTTCCTNCTACATCGTAAAAATATCTCCTCCTCAATTTGAAATAAAAGCAATGACAATCTTATGGTATCCAACATGCGTTCGTAAGCTTGCGAAAATACTACTCCGTTGATGTCCTCTTGTAAAAAAAGCTTAAATCCAACAAATGCTTTGATCCATGCTACATCTCCGTGTTGGAAAAGCCCTTTC